AATAATTAATAAAGTTTAGATTTATGAAAGAAAAAAAAAAAAAAAAAAAAAAAGAAGAAGAAGTAGAAGAACTCGCAATATAAGTTTACAAGTTTGCAATACGATCTAAACCAAGCAAGATCAATGGATGTGCTAGCATTGATATCAAATTTTCAGTCTCGAGTTCACCAATCAAAAGAGATTCTTAAGCAATCCACAAGAACATAATCTGCAGGTAGCATACCTTTCCCAAGTTTTCTTTATTCGCTACAATAGTTTGGCAGCCCAGTCTCCGAGCTTTAAAAACATGAAGAAAAACAATTGGAATTCTTGGTGGCGAATAAAAGCTCTTGATTTCACAATCACATCTAAACTATAAGAAACTGCAGAAAAGTTCAAGTGGTAGACACATGCCTTTTTCAAGATACCGAAGCTCCGTATTTGTTCTCCCATTTAGAAGATCCTTCCCATCAATGATCTGCACGACTCGTAAAGCATATGCTAATCGTAAACAGATTCAATAATCCGAAGCATAAAATAAGATTGTGTTCGGTAAGCATATAAACTAGCTTATAGCTTATTTGATTGATTAGCTTATAAACTTCATGTATTCAAATAAGCTTGGTTTACTATAAAAGTTCGAGGTTATCTCATAAGCTTCCATGGATAGCTTTTCAAATAAATTCATTGAAATTTTTATTTCAGCTAGCTTATCTACAGCTAATTTTACCAGACACTTTTATCATATAAGCTAGCTATTCAGCCATAGGTCAAAAGTTAGAAATATTAGCTAGTTTATAAGCTAGTTTATCATATAGGTTTACTAAACATAACCTAAGAGTTGGAAATATTAATTTGTCGTTAAAAGGCACATTTTATATGAACAAGAAATTGAATTTNAGTGCCAATGATAATTTGAAACTATTCGGATGAAATGGTTCTCTGAACCATCGTGATTATTTGTTAACAAACCGATCTCCACAAGGGAAACGACATGATCTATAATATACATGACTAACACTTTAAGCAGCATCCAAACAGTTTAAACAACGCAACGAAAAATGTATCATAAACCGTTTATCCGATCGACATAAACATTGTACAAAACATATGATGTTGAGACCATTCTACCTTTAGGTTTAAATTCTAACTAATCAACTAACACACACCCAAACACTCACTAAAACTAGATTACCAGTAATCTTGAAGACAATACAATTATTTGCAGCCCTAATTTGCAACTCCAACTTGCCCAAATGTTCAGAAACAGTAATATGTGTTCATCGAGAGCACAAGAGATGAAGAACAACTATGTACACCAAGCACAAAAGCAAATCATACTAAAGATGTGCATTCAAACTTACATAAGTTCACACTTACAGCTTTTGCTTTGTTCACTGCATCTCCTGGTTTACGGTATCGCCAATAAACACAAGAAACAATAAAAAAGGTCAAATTTGATAGCAAAATTCAGAATTAATTAGGTTACGCAAGCCGCGAAATTGCAATTTTACAGCAATTCAAAAGAACGAATCGTAGTAGGAGTTAACAGGCACATGAATAAATAAGGAAAAAATAGAGTAGCGCGTACGTACCCCGACAAATTCTAGCTCCATTTGTGTTTTTTCACGGTGGCACGGCGGAGGCTTCCGGAAAAGAAACGGCGGCGAAGGAGACTGGAAAGGGTTTCCTTGAAGGAGAGGACACGGCGGAGATGCGGTGGCTGGAGAATAGTTGCGGCGGAGTGAGTGATGCAGAGGATAAACTCACGGCAGCCATACTTCCACAGCATTTTCAGTTTTTTATTTCCCCTTTCCCCTCGTTTTTCCTTTTCATTTTGTGGGTTTGAAACTATGTTGGTGTGTGGGTTTTGAATCGCATTTTAAAGCCCAATTTCGGAAGAAGACTTTGGATTCATGCCTTGAAGTAAATTACACCATTTACTCTTCAAACCCAAATATATTTTTATATTTATGTAGAATATAATTTTTCGATTATAAAATACTAATTTTTTAACTTTATAATGGTTTATTTATGAATATTTTATCATTGATTTATAAATTACATTAATTTTTTTATTTATAGTTAGTTTATAAACGGTTTATGGCTATGTTTGGTAGACAAATAAACTAGTTTAGCTTATTTGGTTTACTTATAAGCTTCTTGTATTTATATAAGCTCTGTTTGGTAGTATGGGTTTTTTTAAAAAGCTCGAACTTATCTCAGTAAGTTTGTTTAGGTAGTTTTTCAAATAAGCTTATTGAAATTTTTGTTTCAGTTAGCTTATCAACTAATTTTACCAAACACTTTTATCATATAAACTAACTTTTCAGCTCAAAAATTACTGATAAACTCCAAACTAGCTTATCAGCTGGTTTTTACCAAACATAACATATATATGATTTTATTTCGATTATCATATTTTTATTAAAAAAAAATCAAAAAATGCTGCAAACATGAATAGTCAATTTCTTTCAACCAAACTAGAGCCCAACGTAGAGCCCACTAATCTTCCAACATATGCATCAAGGTTTTCCATAATACCCGTTGTCGGTCATTAATATAGTGTAAATATTACAAAATAACGAATAAATGATACAATTTGATTATACCTAAGTATTGAACAATAAAAAATGTTGACGATCAATCGCCAAGTGTCTTAGTTAAGAAATTACAAATAATTTATAGGAAAGGTTTGTTATGGCCACATGCAAATTGAACTGAAAGTATAAGAAAATAAAGACGAGCATGATTTAGCAATCGCTGGGTGGAACGACAATGGGGAATTTGTATTATGAGTGTATTATTATGAGTATGGTATATGGTTGTTTGATGTATGGGGGTACTTCAACGCCCCATTTATATGCGCAACAACAACAACAACAACATAGCCTTTAGTCCCAAGCCAGTCGGGGTAGGCTAGAGATGAAACCCGAGAGAAACACAAAAAGACTCGAATCGAAAGGAAGAGATCGAAAAAAAAAAAAAAAAAAAAAAAACGAGAGAGAGAGATAGAGGAGCAAAAGTCACGGTTCTGGCACGTTGATAGCGAGCCTCCAAGCGCTCCTATCCACCGCTAAATCTTTGGAGATATTTCAATCTTTAAGGTCTCTCTTAACCGACTCTTCCCAAGTGAGTTTAGGCCGACCTCTACCTCTCTTAACATCCTCGACCCGCTGTAGAACTCCCCTACGCACCGGTGCATCAGAAGGCCTCCGTTGGACATGTCCGAACCACCTCAGCCGATGTTGAACCAATTTCTCCTCAATTGGAGCCACTCCGCCACATTTATATGCGCAAAATAAATAAATAAAAAAAATTATGATTGAATGTCATATTAGGGGCTAGATGACCGACATGTTTTGCCATGTAAAAAATCCAACTTTTGATGATGAGCCGTGTATTTTCGACTTTTTGTGGTGGGACCGTTTGGACGGTCGCTTTGCCAGTTCCATTGTCAGATGCCGTTTACACACGACAGAGAGATCAATGATCTTCTACAAAGGGTTTGACAGTTATCTTGTTGAAGAGACCGGCATGCTACAATCTACATAGCTCTAGGGCCGGTCCTTCTTATTTCATGGGCTTGCTGCGTATTTGGGGAGCCATATTTTGTATTATTTTTTAGGGGCTTAAAAGTTTCACGAATGAGTACCACAAATACAATATTTTAAAAAACATAAGACAACTTAATCATTACCTTATAAATATAAGGAGAGTGTATTAATTTATAATTTTCACTGATTTATTGACATTATAGAACTGTTAACTCAAATCTCATCGATACATTTAACAATTTAATTAAAATTGATTTTTTTTAACAAATCTTGAACTCTAAAAGATATTAAAAATATTACTAAAATTTTTAAACGAATTCACCTCATAAAACTTTAAATTTTATATTGTGATATTTGATTTAGCTATAAAACTTATTGATTATTTGTATATATGTTTATAAATAGGAATATTTTGGTTTCCACTAATGTTATCACATAACAATCAAATATTGTCAATTATGTCATATTACTTCATATTATCAAATTTCATCAAATGAAATTGATCACGAACAAGTTCCAATGAACTCGATTAATTGATAAAAATTGCATTACTTAAACAAACGAATGAGACAAACTCGAGCTTTCATGAGACTATAGATGACAATGGAAAATGTTTTGTTGAAATAGTTTTATTTCATTAGAGAGAAAAAAAATATGAGGTTTACCCGCCTTTAGTGCCAAACACGACGAACTAAAGAACATCCCTTCACTAGATTTACACTAACCCTAGAAATTTCTCACACTTCACTTCTCTCAGCAAAGGACACTCGCAAACGTACAACAAATCCAACAATGGCAGCCATGCTGGTAAGCTCGATCCCCCTTTCTCCGTCTCCAAAGCATCTAAACGTGCCTTTTTTTAGAGAGAGAGAGAAAAAACATTAATGTTTATTCGCACTGTCTGTTTCAAGCTACTTATGTCTGAAAACTGCTGTTCGGTTTTTTTAGAGAGAGAGAGAGAGAAAAACTTATGTTTTTCCGGTGATTTATCAGTTCATTTTGGCCTACATGTTTAGATTTGACGGTTTATTGTTGTGGTTATGAAAAAAAAAAAATGAAAAATGAGTGTCGATGAATGCCATGATTATACATGTTGAGGATTATCGAAACAAGCATGGCTATATGTACACATTCGAAGCAATTGGAGGGCCCTCATGTAATAGAATATTGATTATGTTGCTCTGAGTATACATATTCATCTTGTTTTAGTGGCATTTTCAATATAATTATCATTATTATTGTTTGTTGGTTTTGTACTGAAGGGATGTAGAAATGACTCAAATTAGATCCACCTGGGTAACCCATTCCCAGCCAATGCTTGGAGAAAAGAGCATTAGTGAGTTTGGGAGCTGAGCTCACAAGTGTATATTATTAAATTAAGATTAGCTAAACCATAAATGTGCACATAATCTATATTCAGGAAGAGAGGCTAATTTTATAATTTTATGTATCCATTTCCAGTAGGCATATTCAGAGCTATCAAAGAATTCTGTACTATTTGAACGTAAGATGGATTTTGCTCATTTTAATCATTATTCTTTAAGTTGGTCATTAGGCCTTGCAAAGTTGAAGGTAAATTTTGTTACAGAAAGTTGGAATAAATGATAAGCAGCGGCATATTTCTGTTCGCTGGTAATAGAATCCACTGAGAATGTGCAGAAAGTTTCTTAAATAACTCACCATGTTAGTGGAAACTGTTGGAGAAAGAAAACTCTAGTAACTTGGTACCTAGCTTCTTGTCCAGCCCACCTATCTCCCTATCTCTCCGCCTCTCTCTCTCTCTCTCTCTCTCTCTCTCCAGTTTTCTTGACCTGATACTTTGACTATGGTGCATTTATTGGCAAAATTGATTTAGCTTTTTTGTTGGTGGAAACGGGTATTTTGGCCTAATTCTCTTAATCCATTGGTCTTGTACTAAACCAAACTGTTTTCATTGATCAATCGACAGCAACCTCAAATCATATTGCTCAAGGAAGGGACTGATACATCTCAAGGGAAACCACAATTAATAAGCAACATAAATGCTTGCATGGCCGTTTCTGATGTAGTACGAAGTACCCTTGGTCCCAGGGGCATGGACAAGTTAATCCACGATGAGAAGGGGAGCACCACCATCTCCAATGATGGTGCCACCATAATGAAGCTCCTTGACATTATTCATCCTGCTGCCAAAATCCTTGTTGATATTGCAAAGTCCCAAGATTCAGAGGTATTCGTTATTTTGCTGTATATTGCTGTTTTTTTAGTTTACTATAAATTTTTGGGCTATCTGTCATCAGTGGATACACAATACTAAATAAAGTTCATTGGCTAAGTAATATGGCATCCTCCTCTGTTGCGTGCCAACTACCAAGTAATAAGTTGTAGCTATTTTCTGCTTGTTCTGCAGGTTGGCGATGGGACCACTACTGTAGTTCTTCTTGCAGGAGAGTTTCTGAAGGAAGCAAAGCCTTTTGTTGAAGATGGAGTCCATCCACAAAACCTTATAAGAAGCTATCGGACAGCTTCTTCTTTGGTAGAGGGTTTAACATTTCCATGCTTTGTTTGGATTCAGACATAGATCTAACTCCTTGGTGGTCTTACAGGCCATTGAGAAGATCAAAGAATTGGCTATTAGCATAGAGAGGAAAAGTTTGGAAGAAAAAAAGAGTTTACTGGCTAAATGTGCTGCAACAACACTATCCTCGAAGCTCATTGGTGGCGAAAAGGAGTTTTTTGCCACTATGGTGGTGGATGCAGTCATAGCTATTGGAAATGATGATAGATTAAATATGATTGGAATTAAAAAGGTAATGACTGGGCTGTTCTTTTTCATGTAAATATTTTGAACCTTGCATTTTTGTTTAGGAGAAATATGATTTAGTTTCTGATCACTATTGACTTGATGTTGCTGGTTGCTTATGTTCCATCCTTCTTCTCTTCCTTTGACAGTTTTAATCGTTGTCAACCAGTTAGTGTACTAATCTCAGATAGTATTGTGATGTTAATAGTTTTGATCTGATGTAGCATTTTTGAGATGAAGATGCGAGTATCATTATGGTTTTATGCAGGTGCATGAATGAGAGTTTCTCATTTTTAATCCAAACTTATTTTAGACATTCAGAAGATGTTTGAAAAATATGCACAACAACTACAACAACATAGCCTTTTAGTCCCAAGTAAGTTGGGGTAGGCTAGAGATGAAACTCAAGAGAACCAATGGTAAGAGAAACACAAAAATGGCTCAAAACAAAAGGAAGAGATTGGAGGAGCAAAAGTCACGGTTCTGACACGTTGATTGCTAGCCTCCAAGCGCTTCTATCCACCGCTAAATCATTGGAGATATTCGAATCTTTAAGGTCTCTCTTAACCGACTCTTCCCAAGTGAGTTTATGCCGACCTCTACCTCTCTTTACATCATCGACCCGCTGTAGAACTCCCCTACGCGCACAGGTGCATCAGGAGGCCTCCGTTGGACATGTCCGAACCACCTCAGCCGATGTTGAACCAATTTCTCTTCAATTGGAGCCACCCCGACCCTATGTCGAATATCCTCATTCCGGATTCTATCTCTGCCCGCAGAACCAACGCAACATACGCATCTCTGCTACACTTAGTTGTTGGACATGTTGCCTTTTTGTAGGCCAACATTCAACACCGTATAGCATCGCCGCGCGAATCGCCGTCCTATAGAACTTATCTTTTAGCCTTTGTGGCACCCTCTTATCACAGAGAACGCCCGAAACTTGACGCCATTTCAACCAACCGGCTGCAAATTTATGCCTAACATCAACATCAATTTAATACTGACAATTTAATAATAGTTGCACTAGAATTTTCATCCAGAAAGTTGGAGAAACCGAAAGTTTGATAAATACTATGTTCCAACTTCCAAGTGATGTTGAAATGACTTGCTCTGCTCTGAAGAACCATCCGACATGCGCATAATTGCAATTTGCAACTCATGACTTATATCTCTCAGCCCTTCATTTCAGTTAGTCAATATGTTATTTCCCTTCATCAAATCTTGCATTATGCGTCCCGCTTCTTGTTGCTTTCGCGTAACAGTCATGTGCTGATTTACTTTTGTAGGTTCCTGGTGGTACAATGAGGGATTCTTTTCTTGTGAATGGTGTTGCCTTCAAGAAGACGTTCTCATATGCTGGTTTTGAGCAGCAGCCAAAAAAGTTTGTAAACCCAAAGATACTTTTGCTGAACATAGAGTTGGAATTGAAATCTGAGAAGGAAAACGCGGAGATCAGGTTTGATCTTTTGCTTCTGCTTACTTTCCCTATCTCCTAGGAAGTTGCTTGTTGACTTGAGAGAATGCTTACTTATTGTCGAAATTCTTTTAATTTTACAGGTTGTCAGATCCTTTACAGTATCAGTCAATTGTAGATGCAGAATGGAATATCATTTATAACAAATTGGATAAGTGTGTAAAGAGTGGAGCCAAGGTTGTTTTGTCACGGCTTGCAATCGGTGATCTAGCCACTCAGGTACAAATTTCAGTCATTTTCCTTTGTAGTCGCTCGTAGTATTCGCTAAAATAGCTACATGGTTTGTTTATATGGATTTGTTCAACAGTTCTGGTATGGATTTGTTCAACAGTTCTGGCACTGTAGCTTAAGATAAGCTGTTAGTGAATCATTGTGAACATTTATTTATGGAAAGTAAATCTGTTTCAAGTCATAATTTGAGAAAAATGTCTATGTGAGCCTCATCAGGATTATTTTTCGGCAGTATTTTGCAGATCGTGATATTTTTTGTGCTGGTCGTGTTACTGAAGAAGATTTACAGCGAGTTGCTGCAGCTACAGGTGGAACTGTTCAGACAACTGTGAACAATGTCATTGAAGAGGTTAGTCTCTTGATTATTACTCTGCAAAATACTGCTACTAATAAATAAATGCACAACAAAATTTAAATTCCTATCTCTCTAGACATCTCTAGAACATTTTTGCAAACCGTTGCACTTGACTTAAATAGTCACATCAAACTTTTTATTTTTTTCTGCTGACAATTTTATTTTGTTTTTTCCTTGTTTGAAAAAGGTCCTTGGATCTTGTGACGTATTTGAAGAGAGGCAAGTTGGAAATGAGCGGTTCAATATATTTAGCGGATGCCCGTCGGGTAGGACTGCAACTATTGTACTTCGTGGTGGTGCGGATCAGGTTTGTGATAACGGTGATCATCCTTTTATTATGCTTTTTAGATGTGAGACTGATTGGTGACTTTGATTGTTTTAGTTTATCGAGGAGGCAGAGCGAAGTTTACATGATGCTATTATGATCGTTAGAAGGGCTCTGAAAAACTCAACCGTTGTTGCCGGTGGCGGTGCAATTGATGTATGGAATTTTGATATATAGAAACTTAAGCCTTTATATTTTGAAAGTGCTCATTGCATATTGTTTAAAGTTTTGGCTAAAAGTTGTGTATTTGCAGATGGAGATAAGTCGGTACCTGAGGCAGCACGCACGCACTATTGCTGGGAAGTCCCAGCTCTTTATAAATTCTTATGCAAAAGCCCTTGAGGTATATCTTTTGAGAAAAAAAAATTATTATTATATCTCTTTTGATTCTTTCGGGCGGTGAATCATTAACTCGTTACACTTTCTCGGAATGGTTGCCTAACCATTGGCCAATAACTTTCGTTATAACCCCAGTGATGGTTCATAACATCTTATAATATGGTTTATTGTAGAGTATATTTCCGCCTTTTTATTTCTTTTACTTCTATCGTTGCTAATAGTCTCAAGTTTTTGGTGGCTTATTGCAGATTATCCCACGACAACTTTGTGATAATGCTGGTTTTGATGCAACCGATGTTTTGAACAAATTGAGACAGAAACATGCCCTTCCATCTGGTTAGCCTCTAATTTTCTTACTCCTAGATGTCCTCGTTGATGAGTTCCTAGTCTCATCTCCAATCTAATTCTTTCATCTGTAGTATTCACTTTTCGTTAGTGTCTTATCTCTGAACTATGAAGTAAACTTGGTAACATTTATTGATTTTTCTTGAATTCTACAAAGGGGAGGGTGCAGCTTACGGTGTAGACATTAACACGGGAGGAATTGCCGACTCATTCGCCAACTTTGTTTGGGAGCCGGCCGTTGTGAAGGTATTTTCTTTTCTAGTAGGGGTGATAAAATCAAATACTACATTTGAAGTTTTGCTTTAGTTAAGAAAGAAAACAGAAAATTGTTATGTTTTGAAATCATCATACCTCGAAATTGTAATTAGTGAAAAGCTTATGGTGGCTTGTTTTCATCATACCTCACATCACAGATTAACGCCATAAATGCGGCTACTGAGGCAGCTTGCCTTGTCTTAAGTGTTGACGAAACTGTGAAGAACCCAAAGGTAATTTACAACTTTTTTAGTTAATTTCCGAAGGTTTTAGACGATAGCTAGTTAGTAATTTTAAAAAAAAAAAAAAATCACGTTTTTTTAATGGTGCAGTCTGAGAGTGCTCAAGGGGAGGCTGCCATGGGTGGCGGAGGCCGTGGAGGAGCTTTCCGAGGTGGCCGTGGAATGAGGAGGCGATAGAAAAGGCCATTTGGTGGAGTTATGTTTTCTTTTCCTTTTATTTTCTTATCTTTCCAAGGAGGAAAAAGAATCATTCTTGTCAAAAAAGTTTGTTGTTCTGTTTGT